TGTGTGTGTGTGTGTGAGATGAACAAAGGAAATAAAAACGTTCTTCTAATAAAGTAAAGTATGAGATTAGCTGCTGTCATCATTATTGTCATGGTTACATTTTAGCTGCTCAGAGACTTGAAGATGTTGATTTCAAACAGGGATTTGTGGGCGGAGCTCTTTCCATTTCTGGGTACCTCCTACTGCAGACTACCAGTCCAATACCAGTGCTAAATAATCAGGAGGAGACTGGGAATCATTTTTTGTGTGTACGAAACGAACAATTTGACCCTCAGTCAACAGCTTCAAGGTGACTGTAGTAACAGTTATAACAATTATAAGTATTATTTCTCACTGAGCAGCTCTCAGTTAAGACACTGTTGTCCTCCATGTTTTCTAGCTAATTTCTTCTTCTGCACCTCCTCACGTGTGTGTTGCATCCAGTGGCAGTGAGATCATATTAATTGAGCAACATGTTGCCTCAACCACATGTAGAAACAAACCCGTGGACACTTTGAAGTTCTGAAGCAACCTTCTTGCTGCCATGTCTGTCTGTCTTACAACATGTTTTCATTCTCTGTTTTTATTGGCAGAAAACTTTACTGACACCACAGATCTAGGTAAAGGGGGTCAAGAAGTGCAGCATGTCTGTCACCTTCTCCCCAACCCCAGCCCATCCATCCACACACTAACAGCAGTGCAGTCCACCTCCATTGCAGGGTGAGGTGCAAAGTTAATGAAAATTAGACTTAAACATCATCCTAGAAACGGATGAGACTGGAAACTAAACTTTTTGATGATCTAAAACGTAGGTTTCAGACGTCACAATGAAAGTGACTTCCTGACTGAACTGCTGTTCGTGCTGCTCGCCTGCCTCTCCTGCATCTCAGCATTGTTTTCTGAGAGTAAAGCTGCTCTCGGGGATTGAATACGCTCGCTCCCACTCAGCGTGTCTGGGATTCACACATTCAGCTGCTGGACTTTCCCCTCATGTTCTGCTAGATCAGTACATACTCTCTTGTAGTCAGTGTGTATATCTGCTGACCTTTAAATCCAATCCCTGATGGCATGCCTGCACTACACAATCTCACTGCATCGCTGCATTTTTCTGTGTGCTGTGGAACACAAGTTCACCTTGTGCTGGAGATGATGACTTCTCACAGCCTGTCACTGGATACAGTGTCATGATGACACAGCTGTTTTTGGTGTGGGGAATAAGGGAAGCTGCACATACGTGCATCCGAAGGTGAAGATGGAGGCGTGTGACAGGTGTGTGACAGGTGTGTGACAGGTGTGTGACAGGTGTGTGACAGGTGTGTGACAGGTGTGTGACAGATGTGTGTTGGGCAGGACAGACGAACACCATCAGCAGCTGGCATTGCTGCCTTGACTATTCTTCAGAAGTCATGTTGCTCTGTCATCTTCATCCATTGCTTTTATTCTGTGGATGTTCAGGAGATCACAGGTAATGTTGTTAGAAGCTTTTGGCTGAGCCGGCCCACCTGAGCTCTCCTGCACATGCTCATATTGCACTAACGGCTGTTTGAGGGCATGCCTGGATTCGATCCCGGTGATAAAAGCATGCTTGCTGGGGGGGTTGGTGCTTGGGTAGGAGCATCAGTAGTGGGGCCCTTCACTGGCTGGGTACAGTCTCAAGTTGAAGGTACAGTAGATTTCTTTCAAGTGAAATTAACCTGAGGTGTGTGTGATCTCCACAAGGAGTCTCCAAAGTGTCAAAAGCTGAAGAGGAAATCAGTGAAACTGCTGGACTGCTTATAGGAAAACGTTCTATACCAGAGCCACTATAACTCCTGCTGATACTTTAAGAAGTATAAACTTGTACGTTTATGTCTAATCATGTTGCTGTGATCTACGATGGGCATCTTGGGGAGAGTTCACACACATGCTTTATTGTTCGATGGTAAAGCAGTGACTGTGCAGCCGTATACTGGCTCACTGATGTCATGACACAAATAACAATTATACTTGAGTTAATCAAACCACTCGTTATATCACCAGTGCTGATAGTTTCTCTTTGTGGCGTCTGCAAGAAAAGCTTTTCCCAACTTTCCCTCAAATGGGTGAAAAATGTATCTTTGATCAGGTCTAATGAACCATGTACGGCTACATTTAGAGTTAGTGACTAAAACGCAGACATATTTGAGCTCTGCACTGACTGAGCTCTTTCCATGTCCCATTCAGTGCCCAGTCTGTGGGCCACCACGGCGTGTCAGTCTAATACCAGGGTTAGATTATGAACGTGTAATCCTCACCGTCAGGAAGACACTGGGAATCAGTCTCTATGTGTAAGAAGTAAAACAGTTTCACATTTGAGCCTCATTCTGTTAAAAATGACATAAAATTACATTCAAAAGATATACAATAAATATACATTCTAATAAATACCAATTCATTAGAATAGCGATTTATATTACAAATAAATATCAACAGGTTCAAGATGATTACAGTGAAAAAATAGCATATAAGCATTATTTATCTGATTTATTATTAATTTATCTGAGTCGAGGAGACACGAGGAGCACAGGGAGGAACAAGACCGAAGAAGTAGAAATCAGGAAACCATTAGAAACCCTGAATGAAAGAGCATAAACACTGGGTCACCAGTCCCACGTAGCCTCACACTTTGGACGAAACACGATACGAGACAACATTTGTCCTGATGACAGAAGAATAACGTGCATGGATCCTTGGAACGAGATGAAATGAGGACTGAGATCTTGCAGGGAATTCCTCGAGTGTTTCTGCTCAGGGATTCTTTGACTTCTCATGCGTGTGCGTGTGCATGCGTGTGGGTGTGCATGCGTGTGCATGCGTGTGCGAGTAAGCATGCGTGTGCGTCATTGTTCATCGTTGTGTTTGACGTTACCTTGTCTTTAACCCTCTGCTCTCTCCTCCTCTTTTGTAGTCGAGCTTACCGACTCCTTTGTGGCTTCTGGTCTCACTCCTACTCCTACTCCTTTTGGTTTTCCTTCTCCTACTACCATTGCTCCTACAACCATTAGTACCTCAGCTACTCCCACTCCTACAACTACGACTTCAACCACTACTATTGCCACCACTTCTACTACTGAGGCAACCACTACCATCCTTCCAATGCTGTTCCCCACCAAGCGTATTGACCAGAATGTGTTGGGTACTTGCTGTTGTCCGTTCTAGTTTTACTGTCTACCATCTGAATTGAACTGTCTTCTCCTACCTGAACAACTACATCAGGGTTTCCTTCGATACGCTGCGCTGTACCTGCTGCACAAAAAGTGGGGAGTTGCTACAAAATCCTGTGTTGTAGCCAACAAATCTGCTCCTGGTCCAGGAGTGAGAACGTTTATCTCACAGAACATGAAGGCTTTGAGTTTCAGT